CTGTACATGGATAGTCATTGCAGCATTATTAGCAACAAAAAATTTAGAAAAAAAACTAGATGTGGCCAATAAAGTCAGTTTAATACGCAATGGTATATCCTTGTAATACAGTCATTAAAAATGAAAATGCTTATCAGTGATGGGAAAATGTGGGTCATAATGTGAAAATAGTTTACAGAACAGTATGAATAGCACTCCATGTTTTGTATATATGAAAGCAAAACAAATGATCTCTGAGAGGTAGAACTGTGGATGGACTTTTTTTTTCTTTACCGGCAGTCTAAAGTAGTGGTAAGACTGTGGGCTCTGGAGATGACCAACTGGGTAGTATTTACTAGCTGTGTAGCTCTAGGCAGGTTACTTTGAGAAAATTAATTTATGTAAAATCCTTAGTACAGTGCAATTATCATCATCGTCATTACCATTATAAAATGGAAATTAAGTAAAAATACAGATGTCTTTAACCTCAGAGAGGCATTGTGTGTAATGTAGCACAAAAAACCATGGGACCCAGAGTAAGAAAAACTGGGTCCCGTGTCCACGCTTACCAGTGGTGAGACACTGGGCGAGTTACATCCTCTCTGAGCCTGATCAAGGGTCGAACAGGGATACTAACCCTCTCTCACTATCTCAGGGATATAGTAGGGATCAAATGGGATGTTTCTAAGAGCGCTACATAAACCATGATGTACTCTGCAAACTATTTGATAATTATTAATTATATTGAGTATGAATTCCATGTCATACCCAATTACAAATAATTTTGCCTTATTTTGGCCCTAAGTCTAAAGCAGAGGTGTAAACTTAGTAGTTTCAGAAGGAAGAGAAGTAAGTAAACATGGTAGAATAAATCGAAGAATGAGCTGTTGAGAGGCCTTCTCATCCAGTGACCAGATCAGCTTTTCTGCAAGATCGGTCATCGTTTGCTGCCAGTTGAGAGTGAAGGGAGGCTAAGAGGAGGAAAGAACTTTATAATATTTTCTTAGACTGGCAGGGTTCCAGGTGTGGCATTACACCACATCCTAACCACCTTGTTCTTTGCCACTTAAGGTAACAACTACATAACCTGATCAGTGGATTCTTTCAGGCGTTACTAAGTAAACTGTGGGCAGCAAGAGTTTGATCTAGATTGGGGCTAATAAATTAACATTTTCAAAGATACTGTGAGGAAGCAAAATGTCACTTGGAAAACTTCAAATTATGGTGCTTCATTCCGCGGACTCTGCTGAGAGATTCAGAGAATAATAAAATAATACATTTCAGTTCTCAAAAGGGACATATATTACAGTTCTCTTTGTAGAGTGACTCACAGCTAATGTGACCCTTGACAGAACAATTTTATATTGTGTCATCTTTCAAATGAGTTTGGTTTAATGACATTTGAGTTCCCTTTAAGCAATAAAGTAATTATTGATGTATATAGATCAAGATTAATTAATGCTAATGGGGCACATTATTCGGTACTTTGGAGTGAATACTTCACCTATAACAATTCTCCCCTCTTATAACCTTAATGGAGTGCAGAATTAGAACACCACTAATAGAAATGAGAGTGCAATGAAGGGATAAAATGATTCATAATAAAACCATCAAACATAAAAATGAACATAAAGGAACTTCTTCTCATTTTAAGCTGGAGAAGGACTTTCTAACTATAAATAACTCTTTGGTTTGACTATGAAATAATAAATGAAAACGCAGTTTATGGTATTTTGTTAAAGTAGTCTGAGCAGACTAAGACAAAAGATAAGAGAATGTTATGAATAACTGTGCTCATAAATGTGACAGCTTAGGTGAAATGGACAATTTCCTTGAAGGGCAAACTGCCAAAACTCATTTAAGAAATGATAGATAATTTGTGTAATTTTATGTCTTCAAAACAATTGAATTCAGATAACAACCTTTCAATAAGGAGGCCCAAGTGGCATCACTGGTGAATTCTACCCAACATTTAAGGAAGAAATTATATGAATTCTATCTACAATCTTCAATAATATAGGTGAGGAGAGAAACATTTTATGAGGTATTACACTGACCAATGACATTAAAAAGTAAGGAAACTAGAGATCAATATCTCTCATGAACCTTGAAGCAAAAATACTGGTTCCACAATTAAAAATCAGTGTAATTCACCATGTCAACCTTACGAAGAATGATCATTTTAATAGATGCAGAAAAAACATCTGACAAAATCCAACATCCATTCATAATTAAGAACTCTCAGAAAACTAGGAGTAAAAGGGAATTTCCTCAACCTGATAAAGACCATCTACAAAAATCTACACCTGATACACTTAATGGTAAAAGACTGCATGCTTGCCCCCTAATACTGGTGACAAGGCAAGGATGTGTCTGATATCACCACTCCTTTCACCATCATACTGGAAGGTCTAACCAGTGCAGCAAGACAAGAAAAAGAAATAAAAGGCGTTGGAAAGGAAAACTGGAAAGACTGGAAAAAAATAAAACATTTATTATAAATAATAATCTGCAGACATGACTACGTAGAAAACTTTTTAAAAATCTACATAAGTGAATCTGGCAAGGTGTCAGGATACAAGGTCAAAATACAAAAATCAATCGTATATCTAGATATTAGCAATGAACATTTTGGAAATTGAAAATTTTTAAAGTACCATTTACAAAAGCACACACAAAAAACCCCATAAAGTACTAACAATATATGTGCAAGATCTGTATGCTAAAATCTAAAAACACTGATAAAAGAAATCAAAGACCTATATAAATGGAGCAACATGCTGCATTCATGGATTGGAGGACAAATATTAAGAGGTCCACTCTCCCTGAACTGGTCTATGGATTCAATGCAATCATTATCAAAATCCAAGCAGGTGGTTTTGTTCTTGTCAACAGGCTGATTCTAAAATGTACATAGCAAGGCAAAGGAACTAAAATTAGCAAAACAGCTTTCAAAAAGAACATAGTTGCATTACTTATGCAAAGCTACAGTGATCACGCAGTGTAGTATGGGTGAAAGCTCAGACGTATTAACTAATGGAATAGTTCAGAAATAGGCTAATGCTGTGTCAACTGATTTTCAACAAAGGTGCAAAGAAAAATGAACCTTAATCTATATATGGTACATATATAATTTTTATATGTAAACAGATACAAAAACCAACTCAAATCAATCAGACGTAAATATAAAAACTGAAAACTATTAAACTTCTAAAAATATTAAAAATTTTTGTCACCTTAAGTTAGGCAGATTTCTTAGATATGACACCAAAAGCATAACCCATTGAAGAAAAAGTTGAAAAAGTGGACTTCTGTGAAAATTAAGAATTTCTGCTCTTCAAAAAGCTCTGTGCAAAGACAAACCTCATACTGGGAGAAAATATTTATAGAGCATATGTGATAAAGTCTGGTATCCAGATTATAGAAAATAATATCTGACTAGAAACATGTAAACACAAATTGGGTTACCATTTTTGACTTTTTCTGATTGACCAAGATAAAACACGAGGTTTTTGTCCATTATTGAGAGTGTGAAGATAGGGGTGTATTTGTGATGGAACTTCCATTTTTGGAACAGAAATTTGACAATATGTACCAAATCTTAAATACACCCATATCCTTTAATACAGTAATTACAGTTCTAGGAGTGTATCCTAAAAATCTTACACACCAAGGCTGGTATGTATGGTCACTATTCCAATATTTCCACTTGCAAAAATGAAAATAAACATCAATCTTGGTAACAGGCACTAGTTAAATAAATAAAGGACCAGCCGCAGATTATGAGGCTATTCAGAGGGGAAATCTGGCTTCAAGTATGCCCAGAAGAGAGAGGACAAAAGAAATTCATACAAATGTGAATGGGAGTTTTCTCTGCATGATTAACTGCTGGGGTATTTTTTCTTTTCTTGGTCTATCTGAAGAACATGTATTCAGAAGGCAGAAGTTACTTTTTTTTTAAAGGAATTTAGACATTCCAGAGTTAAATCAGCATAAACGTGCAACATGAAAGTCCTGGTCTCCTTGTTAAGGAGAAAGTGAACATGGTACATAAGGATCTGATTTTGCAAGGGGAAGGGGGCAGACTGAGTAATCTATGACTGAAAGGGCAGTTCATAATTCTCTTCCAGTTTCATTTTTGCTACTTGTCCCGTAAGGTATGACCATGACAGCATAGTTGCTATTTGGGTTCCCCCTCCATCACTCACTCCAGGATCATGTTGAATAGCGGTTTTATTTGTGCATAAATACACTTCGGACTTTCCCTTTATCTGGTTCCCAAATTTGGTTTTTAATAATGAAGCTCTTTCAATATAGAAACAGAATCTCATTTATGCATTCTCAAAAATACAAAAATTGTGTTGGTCAAGGCTTAACTGGTGTCCCCTAGTGGGAAAGTCCTCAAATAACTGGCTGTTGTTCACGTAAGTGCAGAACATTTTTAAAAGGTAAATAAATACTAGCTTTCTCCCTTTAGGCCAGTTTAATTATTTTTGTTTGCCAAATTGCTCCTTTTGCAGGAAACTAAATTTTGTAGTGCCTTCCTTTTTATAGGTACGTGCTAAGGTGGGCCTTTTCATACGTATTATTAACTTTAAGCCTGCAAGGTGGGCGTTCATTTCTTACACAGTAGGTCACAAAGTTCAATACCATTATGCAATAACATGTCAAGGAGACAAAACTCAATTTATCATTACACTTAAAACCAGCATCTGAGAACCTCAAGACTTTGTAAATTCTCTGAGCTTTTGATTAACACCAAAGAGTGAGACATAATGTCTTGACCTTATATGCACAGTTACAAGATGAAGTGGAACGAGTTTCCAAGGCTTTCTGGAGAGGAGGGGTGTGTAAAAAACCTCTTTTAACCATGGTGTCTCTCTCACACACACACACAAAGCTTTAATTATCAACCGTCTGAACAGATAAGTATCTAAAATAGTAATGCTCTCAAATACTACAGTAAAATTGACTTGATTCTTTATTACCTAGCATATACCTGTCTTTTCTTTCTTTTTTAGGGGTAGGGGTTGGGCTTGGCTTTGTTCTTCCAGAAGTGCACATTACTATCCCCCCTTGAATTTTTATGCGGTAGAAAGAAGATGCTGAAGCAGTATTCCCCAACAAGGTAATGATTTAAATTTCACTAAAATACTTCTATCAGTAACTGTTTAGCTTTCACAAATAATTTTCCAAGAACCAACATGTTACTTGTATAAATACTGTTACAAACTAAAAGAACCTCAGTTTTATCATTTTTAGTTTTCCTTAGGAATGTCTGTGAACAGAATAATCCTCACATTGAAGGTTGTTTTTTAAATCCTCACTTAATTTGAAAGGAAAAAGAGTGTGTGAATGTACTTTTCTATTCCAAAGTCTCAGGGCTTCACAGAAGAAAGCTTAATATCCAATAGTTAAGTTATATAAACATGAGTTTATACAGATACAGATTTATATAACTATTGCCCAGCCACTAAATAAAGATCAAGAGATTAACAGAATGAAAGTTTTTTTTCCTACCATAACTTTTCAAAAAGGTTAAGACAGAGGGATAGAGTATGTATATATTTGTAGGTGTCAAGAGAATAGGAGAGAATACAAGCAACTTGACAAGACTAAGTGTATTCTATAAAAGATTAACCACGACCATGAGTGGCTGGGCTTATAGTTTGCTACACCAAAGAAATTAAAAATTGATACTTGAGAATATTGTTATAATAATTTATAATAGCATTCCTTTATAGAGGCATTTTAATTTAAGCAATGTTTCTCTCTTAAATATATAAAACTAACCCTTAGTGTCATGGATGAGAATCGTCATAGCTACTGCTAAATGAAAGAACAATTTCCAAGAGCTGTTTGATGGTGTTATTTTAATACCTACACCCAAACTTTAGGGAAGCAATCTCCCAAGAAGATCTTCTGGAAAACTGCCTGATCTGCTCATGGCAGGGGAATAGCCCACTTCCAAGTCAAGCATGAAGAAAAACACAAGTTATGAATGTACCCAAGATCCCCAAATAAATTAGTAAAAGTGCCATTATTTTAAGAATTATCAGACATATAATCAAAGTGTTTAAACACAAATTCAAATTTGTTAAGTCCAAAAGATACAGTAATTTTATTACATATAATTTCTCCTGTGTGCTAAAAATGTTAACTTACAAGACATAATATCTGTATAAGTGTAGAGGGAATTATGGTGGAATTCTTTAATCATTTTTCATTGGTGAGAAGAGAACAATAAGGTAGTGGACAAATAATAAGAAGCACTCAGAGTCCTCTAAAATTCAAGGTTGTATATTACTGCTCAACCAAAACATACTACCATTCTCTAATATAAATGCCTACTCATTTATCTTTGAAAAATAAAGGTCATTCTTTCTCCATTAAAGCTTCTGCAGGATTGACACAAAGGTTCATTCTACCTATTAAAAATAGGGGTACTCTTCATCTTTGGATAAGGTATCACCATTTAGGGAAAATGTAGTCATATACATATTACTAAATTTTTATTTGAGGCAGCTGTTGGAATCCATTAAGCACTTTTGGAACACTGTACCTTTAAAGTTTGTCTTTAACATTAATAGCTTTGGAAAACCAAAAATAAAAGAAAAACATCTATGACAAAGTACATTTCATTCAGATTTGATAGCAGTAAAATACAAAAAAAAAATTTAGTGCAGTGTCCATTTTATCTATGTAAATCACTTGAGGATAGTTTTATGTTATAGTTTTATGACTGACTGATAAAAAAAGTTTTAACTTGTTTAAAAACTTTAAGACTTTGACTTAGTATTTAGTAACACAAAAATGAAATTAAGCACTGTAAAGTCTTTAAAAATGAAGTTCTACAAATTTGGTTCCCATTTACAACAGTTTCATTAACAGATAATGAATTAAGTGTAGATACAATGTATCCAATACCCTTATAACTACAGTAAAAAAAAAAAATCTAGTAGCATGTATAGATCATGATATCCTTAGTAATATCAATATATAGTCAAAACATGTTCATACAGAACCAATACCTCTCCTCCATGTAAAAGAACACTTGTTAAAAATAATTAACAAAAATACCCATAAAACAATGGAACCTCATTTCATTTCACTGCACCCAAAGCTATGACACAAAATATTGGCTTAAAGGGGTAGATTAAAAAGAAAAAGAAAACCAGATTCTCCATTCTTTGTCACTTTTATTCAGTAGTAGTTTTTTTTTTCCTTATTTTCAGTGCCAGACATGGCAAGGAGTGATTACAGCCAACTGTTATTAAAACATTTGTTCGCAACATATAACCCCTTTACCACTGACCCCAAACTGACTCGTTTTGTGTGCTTTCGTTCTTTCCTTTTTTATACCACCACCAAGACTGGGTGGAGGGGCAAGGGTAAGAGAGATGAAGGGGAAGAGTCCAGGAGGCCAGAAGAGGAGGAATGCTACAAGCCACAGTAAGAATGAGCTGTATTTAATTTAAAAAAGGGGGGAGGGGTGTACCCCACAAATGATACAGTAATGAGGATACACAATTAAATCCCATAAGCATGACTGAAGGCTTTCACTTGTGTTTGACGTCATCACAATGGAAGGCATAAAAAGTGGAGTAAATCAATGTTGATACAGTCCAATCTAGTCCATTAGGCAAGATGGTGCAAGAAGTCATTTAAATTAAAAGTGCCCTACCCTTACCTAAATGGCTAGCAGACATGGAGAACACCACAGTGAGGAATCCACAGAGCTTTCTCCATGTAGCTATTAAAAATGTGTTGTCGAATGGCACATTGTCAAACACTGGAAAAGGGGCGCCACAATGGACCTCTCTTTTTTAAGTATGAATGCTAGATTCAACTATCTCAACTAAGCAGGAAGTGGGCTCTTCTGCTAGGAATGCCAACCCTAATTCACTTTGTCTTGAAATATATACAGATTGTTTGTAGTAGCTACAGCAATGATATTCTCCTTGGGGTGCCAGGCTGTATGAAGTATTTTCTTGTTGAAGTCTAGGCTGTCAACGCTTATTTCATCTTTCTTTCGCTTGCCACTTGCACACACTTTGCGTGGCTTCAGAACTGTGCGAGGTTTATTGTTTTCCCGTGATGCTTCTAGGGTTATGTCTCGCTTTGTGTTCCGGTCAAACATTCTGAAGAAATTATTGTAAGATCCAGTCATGACAACACTGTAAAAGTAGACAGAGCACTCAGTCAAATAATGAACATTAGTTTTCAATGGTGAAACCTTGCCTAGTACTCCAAAGAAAGAGCTACTTCAAGCAGATCTGGATTTAAGGAGGGGGCGGCTGACACCAACCCAGGGAACAATCACTGGAATAAACTAGGAATATAGTATTAGTAAACTTGATTTTCTATTAATGACCCCTTTTCATGACTACCAAAACTGTCAGCAAAGTTGAAAGCATCCTCAAGTAAAGCTTGTAAGTAGTACTGAATTATCTTAGTTGAGTATTTTTGCAACTTCAGTCTATGCAACCAACTAGACCAGCCAGCTTCTACCAACCAACCAACCAACAACAAAATAAAACAAAACGATGGTATACAGCTTTCTGTAAGAAACCAATGCTTTATTTTATGATTTACATTATAAGCTATTTATGTCCCCAGGACACTGTCTGGTTCAGACAATAACATCTTATGTATGCTTATAAGAAATCTGCTTCAGAGTATATAAAGAAAGTAGCATATACAACTTATTAACAGAAAATCATTTAACCTATAACACTAAATATATTTTAAGCAAGTATTTTTTGACAAATATTTTTAATAGTATCATTTTGCAGGGGCACCACATTCTTGCCTATTAACCTAAGACGATTTCTCTGTCAGTCCTACTCGCCATCCATCACGGCTCAACATCTGCTAAGCAGCCCAATGAGCAAAACTCACATGTTTGAAACCATTAATAAATTACTTACATCCTTCCCACATGGTTTAAATTATTATTGTAAATAAGATTATAGGACACCGGGAACTGTTTAAGGTAATGCTTGAAAACATCTCTGAATACTTACAAATATTATACATTATACAGGGTCACATATTAAATACAAATGATTATGACCTATTTATTCATTAATGTCAATTCTCCCAAAGGACACTTCACAACATTTTAACCAAACTCAGGTCGGTGCATAGTCCTGAAGGTAATAAAACTGTATTTCTTTTAAAATAATTTCTGTAGTTTAGACTGGCATCCCCATGTTAGCTGAACTTGTGAGGTTTTAATGGATTAGGGCACCTAGTCTATGCTATTTTAAAAGGTGTTGTTAGCCAGCATTTCTGTGGTATTCTTGCCAAAAATGTATAACTGGAATCTAAACACGAGAGAATATTAGACAACACTCAAATTAAGGAAAATTCTACAAAATAAATTGCCTGTGGTTTTCAAAAAAGCCAAAGTCATGAAAGACAAGGGAAGAATGAAGAACTTTTCCAGATTAAAGGAGGCTAATGAGATGTGAAAATTAAATGAAACATATACTTTTGGATTGGATACCAGATTTTTTTTCTCTGCTAGAAAGGACATCATTGAGAGAACTCGTGTTATTTATGGGGATCTGTGGATTAGACAGCAGTACTGCATCAATGCAAATTTTTCTGCTTTAGATGCCTATACTGTCATTATATAGGAGAGTCTTTCAAAAAAAATTTTTTTATGTTAAGGGAAATAAACAAGTTTTCCTGACAATGGAACACGACGTTTAAACACTACGAGGACGAGCTGGTCGTAGCACTGCGCCATATCCTGCTCCACCAGTGTCGCCTTCCCTTTCCTGTCTCCTTGACGCCTCGGGTGAGCAGTGGCATTCAGAGACGAAGCCTGCTTGCTCCTACTCCAGGTGTGCTGTGGCCAGCCTACAGGGCCTCATATTATAATCAGATAAAAACAATTTTAAAAATCAGACAAAAGATAAATTATCCAAGTTCTATTATATTCAAAAGCACCATGAAACCTGACTTAAAACTATTGTTGAATACTCATTAACGAGTACCTTGAAAGCAAGTTTAATAATTCCAGAATTATGTTTTCTTTTACTATTGTCTGTTCTATTGGAACATAATAAATAAATACTGACATTTAAAAATGGAATGATGAAGACTTATTTATCCTTCGAAATAATGGTACACATTTTGATGAAGTTGTGGATTATAAAAAGCTTAATTACTCATGGTAATATGGTTAAAATAATACATGGTAATTACCTCTTCTCTTCTATGAGGTATTAATGTAGTACCTGGAAAAACCAGTGTGTAACGCTGCAAATGAAGTATCTACTGCCTAAATATTTCTAAAAACAATTTAATAGCAAAGTAACAACCAAACTGAAATTTCACCATTTCAACCACTGGCACGTCAAAAATGTGATTGATCTGGTTCATAAAAGGTAAAGTTTAAAATTTATATCGTAATATATCTAGAATTTTTTGGGATACTTTCACATTTACTAGTGAAACATAATGTTTAATTTTTATCTGCCAATACTGCTGTAAGATTATACTAAATTTATTTCAAGGAAACCCTAGGGAAAATGAAGTTGGTAAATGTAATTTATGTCAGTTTAAAGACAGGTTGGCCGTTAGTAAATGTAGCAACCATACTAAGAGTGAAATAGTAAATTTCTCTCCTCTAATGAAATTCAATTTGAATAAGGGGTTCAGTTCAAATTAAAATCAATTTACCTGTCAGATCCATTCCAACAACATTCAAATTTGTCAAATATGCAGTCATTTTCATATAGTGAACAAAGTTTACTTCTGAGGTATTCATGCACCTGGGGAAAAAACAAATATATATGTATACTTAGCTTACACCTTAAGATCTGCTGCTCTTGAAATTAGAAAATGGTTTAACAAATCTATATATTTTTAAGGCATATACAAACATGTATACATACCTTTTAGTCTCATTAAAACTCAATTCTCAAAACAAACAAACAAAAAAACTCAGTTCTCTGAGAAACAGTAAAGGTATTTTATCCTTTCACAGACATCTGATCCGCCTTCCATGAACACACATTTTCCTCTCGTACAATAGAGAAAAATACCCTTCTGGGCATGGCACATGTACTCTTTACAAACTCGACTGAAATATTTAGGCCAGAAAACATTTAAAACTGGCACAGATAAGAGACTAATTAAAGAATATTATAGCAATATTTGAATTTGCTAACACTTGATTTTCAGCCCATTAATTGTTGATAAAAAACATGCAATACTGTGGCTTTACTTCCTTTTTAACTACCATTTTTGGGGCATAAATAACTGAAGCCTACAATACCTTATTAAGTGCATACGTTATGCATTGCATGACCCTGCCCTAGTTTGGTGATAAATTATATGGTTATTCCAGGTATGTGTTACGGAAATATTTGATATACTTGTTATTACTTATACAATATCCAAAGATAATGAAAATGTAGCTCTGTTTTTTGAAGTATAATTCTATGTTTACTCACTAGTATTTCACAAAGGGATCAACTAGAAAATAGATTAGTTACATAAAAAGTATTCTGAGAAATGATACAATTCTATATTAATATTACTAAATTACAAAGGACAGTTCCAAAGTATTTGTTGTGATCATAAGGAAGAAAAACAAGTTTCTGTCTCACTATTCTTTTTTACTTAAAGGGAACCTTAAAAAGAAGTAATGATAGAAAAGAGTAGGTACCTTGGGACTTCCCTGATGGCACAGTGGTTAAGAATCCGCCTGCCAATGCAGGGGACACGGGTTCAAGCCCTGGTCCAGGAAGATCCCACATGCTGCGGAGCAACTAAGCCCATGCGCCACAACTACTGAGCCTGCACTCTAGAGCCCACAAGCCACAACTACTGAGCCCACGTGCCACAACTACTGAAGCCCGCGCGCCTAGAGCCCATGCTCCGCAACAAGAGAAGCCACCGCAATGAGAACCCCACGCACCGCAACAAAGAGTAGCCCCCTCTCGCCGCAACTAGGGAAAGCCCACGTGCAGCAACGAAGACCCAATGCAGCCATAAATAAAT